CATTGAAGTACCTAAGAACTAACAAATGAAACCTCATCTTATTCAAGAAATATTTGTTTTAAGGAAAAAAAGAAAAACATTAATTTAATTTGGATTTTTTATCTTCCCATTTTAATAATTAAGAAAATGATTTTCTCCTTTAACACCCAACATTAAATTAGATTTGTTTTATAGATGATATGTTTTTTTTGGTAGAAATGTTCTAAAACACCCAATATTTTCCTTTCGAAGTTTATTTAAAAAAATAGTAATGCAATTGCGCACTAAATCTAAAGATTACAACCATATAACATTGACGGTTCATATTCTTACATGAGGAAAACAGCTCACAGAATCGTATAGTCATTAAACTTAAATTTTCTTAGTTGACACATCTTTATCCCATCGACTATACATGTCTCAAAACCGTGTGATCAAAGAACAATCTCGATCTCATTTCAATTAAGTATTTATAGGCCCAATACGTCCGACTCTCATAGGCCCAATATATCATTTGTAATGGAGGGGTGATTTTGTAAATATGCTTAATGTTGAACTCGAGAATAAAAACATTTTGACCAACTCTCTCAAAATTCCGGCGATGATCGATGAAACGGAGGAAGATGACGAGACGCAGCGATCATCCCAAAACGACGGCGTTTCGAAGAGAAAGAGAATGGGTTTCAAGGGTGGTGATAAAGCAAAGAGAGCTCTGATCGGAGCCGGTGGTCGGATCCTGTTTTATCCGACCCTTTTGTACAACCTCGTACGCTTCAAACTCCAGTCTCAGTTCCGATGGTGGGATCAAATCGACGAGGTCTTCTTTTCCTTAATCTTTCCTTCAATTTCTGGGTACCTTTGGTTTTCTGCATTAGCGCGATCAGGGTTTCTGTTTGAGATTTAAAGGCATTAACTTTACTTTTAGTATTAGGAATTTGAATTTGACTAGACTGTTCTGATCCGAAGTAGAGGAAATGTGAATTGATTTGACGTTCACTGTCTCTTAGCTTTAAGCTCAGGTCTTTGCATCATTCTGGTGTTGTGAGTTCTGCTGTAACCATATCTGAATCGTTTTCATACTGTCTAGAGTTAGATATTTGTCTATCTGTATAGTTTATGCAGTAGGCTGTTGAAACATGAGCTCCTTCTTGAGTGTCAATTGTTCATACCATGCTAATTATTGGTTTCAGTATCTACTAATGGGAGCGGTTCCATTTCGTAAGGATGTTCCGCGACTAAAACAACTAGGCGTTGGTGGCGTAATCACTCTTAATGAGCCTTATGAGACTTTGGTACCATCCTCTTTGTACAATGTAGGTTCATTGCCCTGGATTTTGTATTCGAAAGCTTTTTGTCTACTTGTGGAGTGTTTGATGATTGTAATTTGTTTTAGGCTTATGAAATGGAGCATCTGGTGATACCAACACGTGATTACTTGTTTGCTCCTTCGATTGCAGACATAACCCGAGCTGTAAACTTCATTCACAGTGAGTGTGTGAGTCTCTTTTACCCTTGTTTGCATTTACCCCTTTTATTTCTTATTATACATTCCTTTTTATGTAACAGAGAATGCGTTGCTCGGTAAAACAACCTATGTCCATTGCAAAGCTGGTCGCGGAAGAAGTACTACTGTTGTTCTCTGCTATCTGGCAAGTCCATAGATTATAATTATATTTATTGAAAAAATTATGCTGGTTAATTAACGTTTCTTTCTCTCTCTGTGTTATTCAGATTGAGCATAAGAGTATGACCGTAGCTACGGCTTTTGAACACGTGCGCTCCATAAGACCGCGGGTTTTGTTGCATCCTTCTCAGAGGAAGGTATGTCTTTCCCCGCTTTATCGATACACTTGAATACTTGATCTATGAGATAGATCTTGAACTTGAAAAACATGGTCTTGATACAAAGTCTAGGAATTTGTTTCTGAAAGATTGTGATTTCATGTCTAATTAGGCTGTTGAGGAATATAGCAGACTACAATCTCCTTTGAGCGAAACAGCAATTCATCGCAACCTCTGATGTCGTTAATTAGATGGCAGATTAAGCTCAGCATTTCCTTCATTGATCAAAAAGCTGGCTTTTGCAAGACTTCTCTCCTTGCTTTTAGTTCGGTTAAAATCTCCGGTTTTGACCATCTAATTCGGTTTGGTTCCTGTGAAATTGTGGTCCGTCTAGTGGTTAATTGTATTCATAGTCTGTGATTATAGATGAAATTCTCTAAAAGAAGAACACATATACAAGTTGTTTATAATATGATTCTAATTATAGCACATAATTTCTATATGAATAATCTTGGTCCTTACCAGAAAGGTGGAAACGTTAACCACTCTGCATTTTGTTGTGTGTTTGCTTCTGAATTTTCCTGCAAATAATATTTGTAATTGAACTTTTAAATTATTCAAAATATGGATCAATAATCACATAGTCTAATACATACAATACACCTATCATGAATTTAAATTAAATAAATAATTCTGAAAAACTTACGTCTTCTTTGCAAATAGCAGCAGCAATTACGTCTTCTAATCCCGAACCAGACGGTCGACTTCTTAATTGCTGCTGCTGTCATTTAGAAATACGAATCTATTACTTTATAACAAAAGGATACAATTCAATGATTCAATTCACCCAAAAAAAAAATATATAACACTTAAAGATCGTATATATACGTATAGGGTTTTGGATATGTATATAAAACAATTCCACAAGCCATGTACACTCTTTACCTTTCCAAATTAATTACTTTTGTATACAACATGCATTAGTATAACTTATAACGAATATGAGCAAGATTGGTTTTGTAATAAATTGCATGATTTACTTTTTGCATGAGCCTGTAGATCCAAAATCATTAGTCTTTATTTAATTGAGTTGTTATGATTAAATGTCAAAGAAGACAAGAGACACTACTATATATCCCCATGCAAGTTCGCGTGCATTAACTTTAATATTGAGCTTATGTTGTACATATACGCACACATAAGGAACATATTTGGAATTAGATTTTATCAAGGACAATTAATTAATAGGAAGTTTACCTGAAATGGCATAGTACTTGTGATATTGAAGACTGAATTATGTTGCGATGTGATGGTTTGGATCATGGGATATGATGATGACGACGATGGTATGTGAAATTCTCTTCCATCTCCGATT